AAAAAAAAAAAAAAAAAAAAAAAAAAAAAAAAAAAAAAAAAAAAAAAAAAAAAAAAGAGGAAAGTGACACGTGTTACACATTATTACACGAGCTAGATTTGCATTAGCTTGACTGCCACCGTTTTTTTATCTGTAACTCATAATTCCTCCAAATTTTGTTGAATATTTCTTTTAAAAAATATTCCCTCTTATTGGTTGGTCAACCATGTATATCCACCGTAGAAAAAAAATTATTAAAAAAAAAAAATATATATATATATATATATATATATATAATATATTTTTTTTAATTTTGTCAAGCGTTGTTCTTTCAAACTTAATCTAGCACCATAGTTACCTATTTTGGTACAACGGAGAGTTTACTATGATCAGCATAGTGAAATTTGTGAAACTAATCATACCTTTATACGTGCACCTGAAAACATAGGTCGACTGCAGAGCCTACTCTAGTTTAGCTACACCACTCGGAGTGCGAGACACCTGAAAAGTTAGCTATTTACAGCGAGTAGATGAGATCAAAGAATGGGTCAAGCTCCTTGTGAAGTAGAGGAGACGGTTAGGATAACAAACTTGAAATGTGGAGTCCGAGCGGGCACGAGCGAGTAGTTAGTAGCCAATAGTGTCCTAATTGATGGCATTCCTCTCCGCAGCTCGCACTCGAGGAACCACACGACACTCTATACAGAAACACACCAAATCAAGTATCACCTGAAATTCTTTATTTAATAGGCAATTGAAACCATAATTCAAAATCTAACAAGTATTTATTTTTTTTTTTAAAAAAAATACATTCTCTTTCTTTTTAGTTTTAGTTGGGATCTAATTTATTCATCAAACTTTTAATAAATCATTCACTTATTTAATATTTTTTAAAATTTTAAAAATTAATTTAAAGTTAAAAAAATCTAAATATAAAAACCTAAAAAACTTATAATATAATAATAATATTATTATTAATTAAATATAATAATAATATTATTATTAATTACCTTTATAAAGAAGCCCATAGATACCTCTTTTTTTTTCTTTTCTTTTTTTTTTCTTTTTTCTAGAGGAATTTAGGATTTGACTACTCAAAGACCCCACCATTATCTCAAAGGCCCCATTTTTTTGGTACTAAAATAATAATAATTAAATTAAATTAAATTATTAAAAAAAAAAATTGTCTCCCTCCCTTCTCTGACCAATAGAGAAGACTCAAAATTTCATTATTTCTTTTATAATTTTTTTTTTAATTTTTCGGTGCTTTTAGACTATAAAAATTTTAGGGTTTTTTTTTAATTTTTTAATTTTTTGGTCAAAAAGAAGTTGCGTTTGGACTCAAAATTAGAGCCAATCCAATTGAGTTCTTCGCATCAAACAATATTTTCTTCCCATAAAAGTTAGTTTTGTGAATGGGAATCTTGAAATTCTTGAAATTTTCTTTCTTTTTTTTAATATTTTTTTTGGAATGTTTCACAAATAGTTTAAAATCATTTATTTCATATTGAAAAAATGTTGAAATTTTGAAAAGAAAAAAAAAAGATGGAGAATAAAAAATTTATTTAAATAAAGAAAATACAGTAATTTGTTAAAAAAAACGAGTCGAAAATCAAAAAATAATAAAAAAAGAATGGATGATTTTTGTATAGTTAAGTGGGAAATGGTTCACGACCCATTTTAGAGTAAAAAATCTCGAAAGAATCAGTGAATATTTCACACGTGCGAACAAACACGGGCACGTCTTACGGCGTCGCTTTTGCTTTCACCACATATTTCACCTATTCATTCCCCCTTTCTTGTAGCCTATGAACCGAACATTCAAAATCTTGTCCCACTCCTTAATCATGAAAGTATTTTTGGCATTTTTTGGACCTTTTTTATATTTCTTTCTTGTGAATTTATTTATTTATTCTTTTTTAATTAAAAAATGGAAAAAGAATAATAAAATTATTTTTATTTGACGTGGCGTGTTATGATTGGACCAAATCTATATATGGAATATTTGTATATGATAATGTTTTTTTTTTTTTTATGTGGGTCCTAATTAAATAAAAGTCAAATAATATTTGTGAGCATGCTTGAGAGCTACTTTATGTTTTTTTGTGTTCATAACTATAAGAATTGTAATCTAAGTGATAAATTAAAGTTTGAATTATCCATTTGGTATCATTATTTTACAAATTTTAAGTCTAAAAATGAAAAAAAAAAATGAAAAAAAATCAAATTCGGCCGGTAAAATTGTTTCTTGGTCGATGATATATGTTTCAACTAGGGGCGTACATAGGTTCGGGTTTTGAGAGGATTTTTTGACCAACCCAAAATTTTGGGTTGGTCTGGTAGTGTAGCTCTCACGATGAACCAATTAGGGTTTACGACTCAACCGTCTATTTTCGAGCTAGGATGGGTTGGGGTGTCGATGAATATTAGGGTTTCGACTAAGCATAGGCGACATAGGTTCGGGATTAGGGAGGATTCTTTTTTTTTAATCAACCCAAAATTTCGAGTGGGTCTGGTAGGCTAACTATCGTAATGAACTAATTAGGGTTTACAACACGACCCAACTCAACCCTCTATATTTTGAACTAGGATGGGTTGGGACATCGACGAATGTAGGGTTTCGACTAAGCATACATGAGAACGTTCACGATGAACAACAGTGACAAGAGAGGGAAGGCGTCGAATGTTAGAATGTGTGAGTCAATTGTCGACTACTGGGTGCTTGGTGCCCTAACGCGACGTTAGGGTTATAACTTCACGAGTTTTAACTTTTAGTTATAATATTAAGAAATTCAGTTCAGTTCGAGTTGACCCGAACAAAAAAACAAAAAAATTCAACCCACAAAATAAACCGAAATTTTAATTAAAAAAAGAACAACCGAACATCACGAGTTGAAGTTATTTTTCAAAAAGAAGCCGAAATTTATTGTAGATGAAAAGGATATATTTTTTTCCGTATTTCAGCCTTTATATGATTTTTGCATGACAAAGAGGATATGATTATTCTATAAATACCCTAATTAGTGAGACTGAAAACCCCATCACACAAAAAGTGGAANCAAACAAAAAAAAAAAAAAAAAAACAGAGGAATGCCAAGAATTCTCCGCTATCAATAGCAAAATCTCCTCTCAATCTCCTTCTTCATCGATTTCTTCTGAATTGCTCACTGAAATTCCATCAATGGAGGATCAATGCACATCTTTTGACTGGGAATTCTGCTCTCATCACGAAGATGTGAGTATTTCATTCACGAACACTTCGCATTTTGCATTTTTGAGATTCTGTTTCGGGTTTCTGGATTTTGTTCTGAATTGATCCAATTTTTCAGGGGTGGGAAGAACTGAGGCATGCTCTTGTGTACACAACTTTGGAGCTTGAAACAACAATCATGTCAGCGAAGGAGGAGATTTTGAGAAGAGAATGTGAAATTATGAACTTGAAGGATCTTCTGAACAGAGCCATTAAAGAGAAAGATGAAATCGAGACGAAATGTGAGAAGTTAATGCTTGAAAATTTGGTGTTGATTCAACAGAACAAAAATCAAGAACATGAAATCACTCCACAAAGTGACAGTGATTCTAGTAAGATGTTTGCTTGTTCTGATTCTGATGATAATAACACAATTCAATCCTCTCAAACTGACCCAATTGTGGGAGAGCCATTGTTATCACAAGAACGCCCACCAACTGTTTGTCAAAATGCCTGTGAGAAGCCTCTGCCACAAAAAGGCAAGCTTCTGCAGGCTGTGATTGAAGCTGGCCCCCTTCTCCAAAACCTCCTCCTCGCCGGGCCGCTGCCTCACTGGCAGCACCCACCACCACTCGTCGATACAGTCGACATCCCGCCGGTGATCATCTCACCACGCCCTTCACAGCCTCCAGCTCAAAGCACTGCCATTGACATTAGAAAGAGAAGCCATTCATACCTCTCTGATGTCTCTCAACATTGCCACAACAAGCATCAAAAACTGGTTCAGTAATCATCAGTAAGAATCTCAATATGAATCTGATCTCTCATTCTCTCTACTTTTTTTCAATGCCCATTTGCTCATTTACTGTCATCTTTTTTTTCTTTTTGCTGTGATTGTGAGTGTGTAATCTGGATGTTGTTCTTATATTCTCTTTCAAATCACAACCACACCAAAAAAAAAAAAAAAAAAAAAAAAAAAA